GATTCGACCAATTTAAAATTGGTTATAGAGATGACCAATTTAAATTGGTTATGCATATGACCAACTTTAAATTGGTTGGGGATATGACCAATTTTTATTGGTTATTTTGGGAAATTCAACATTGACTGATCAAAAGAAATTGGTTAAATTTACCATTTTAAATTGGTTAAAAATTCAACCAATTATGTATTGGTCGAAATGACCAATATTTAATTGGTCATGTCAGACTAACCTATTCTTCAATTGGTTAAAATGACCAATTTAAATTGGTTGCAACCAATTTAAATAGGTCATTTTAACCAATTTGTTTTTACTGTGTAATTATAGGAACAGTATTCAAATTTATTGTTATTAACTTCAACTTCAATAGTATGAACTGCATATACGTGATGAATTATGGCAATAACGATTATAGGAACTGAGGAGGGGTGAATTGGTTAATTGGAAACGATAAGTCGAGAGATAAAGGAGAGAAAAGGAAAGGCAACCCTGTACGCGTTTCGACCTAACAGTCTTCTTCAGCAGGGTTTTTTAAGAGGGGTGCAGGTAGAATTTGCAGAGGAGAATGAAGGAGAGGTTAAAAGTTAGGATAAGCAATGGCACAGTAACAAAAAGGAAAGATGGAAAGATAGTGAGAAATGCAAAACTACTACATGTTAAAAGAAAAGTTATCCTACCAAATGTCTTGTTATTGCGCGACATTCCAACACCACGCACCTTGCTGTTCATCTTTTGTTTAGTTTGATGAAACAGAGTAATAATACAGTCCTTTCAAATGTAGCTAACTCAATAGTATAGTGAGTATGAATGATGTGATGGTAGGGGTGGGGTAGGATTTATATCATAGTGTGATCATGTGACTAAAGGTGATTGCATCCTAATATGGTGAAGGGAGCTAATTAAACAGGGATGGGGAGGTATCGCAATAAGAGATGATTAGTGATGAATAATAAAATAAATAAATAATTAGATATATAATTACCCCTTCACAGGGTTTATTGTTATAGATTTATGAGTATACATTAACCCCCCAGAAACTAAATATGTACATATATAACAAAGCCAAACAAGGATGATAAATGGAATGATATTATATGTCCAATCGTTATCTATAGTAGGTCTTAATTTGTCACGTGGAGTACTCAAGTTATCCAACATTATATTTACAAAGTATACTATTAAAACATGACAAGTATGTTTCGTGTTACTTGTACAAGGAACCAATGGTTATATGAAAATAAATAGGGACTGGGAATATGTTGGTGCATTATTTAATAGCTGGTCATAACTGAAAAATTCTACATAGGACGCGTATGACGCCTAAGGTATAAAATGCATGTTGACATGCATAGAGGATTTGAATTAGGTATAGGAATTGTAACTATTGCTATTAGCCATCAAAACGTATTAGGTACATGCATGTCCAAAAACATCAGGCTCTGTTTTAATAGTCCAACTGTATGTAATTAAAAAGGTTGACCAACTATGCAGCGATGACAGGTCTATTCGAGTGGTTTCATATAGATGTTATCGTAGGAAATGCCACAGTCAAGTAATGGTATGAAAAATTGGCTATTGACGTCAATGTTAATCCTTTTCAAGTGCCAGCCAGGACGATTAATTCTTTATAGTATGTGGACAACAATGTCTGCTTGATGGTAAGATATCAACAGCTGGTATTATAAGTTGTTGTAAATATGGTTTTCAAAACTCGGTGTTTCTATTGCTTTAATATGACCAAATTATCCAGTATTGCCACGACCAACGACGAAACTCCAAAATCTGTGTCTCACCATATCGAACCCGCTGTCATAGTGGTGTTAGTATGGCGTTTAATTTCATTAGTGCTAATTATTTGATAGCTTAGAGTGCACTATGCGGTCCTTAATGTTATGGTTGCGTTTGTAGGAAACCAAAGGGGGTTCTGGCCATAGAAGCTTGAGTGTTGGGTTCCAATCCCTGTCTAATTAGCTCCCTTCACCATATTAGGATGCAATCACCTTTAGTCACATGATCACACTATGATATAAATCCTACCCCACCCCTACCATCACATCATTCATACTCACTATACTATTGAGTTAGCTACATTTGAAAGGACTGTATTATTACTCTGTTTCATCAAACTAAACAAAAGATGAACAGCAAGGTGCGTGGTGTTGGAATGTCGCGCAATAACAAGACATTTGGTAGGATAACTTTTCTTTTAACATGTAGTAGTTTTGCATTTCTCACTATCTTTCCATCTTTCCTTTTTGTTACTGTGCCATTGCTTATCCTAACTCTTAACCTCTCCTTCATTCTCCTCTGCAAATTCTACCTGCACCCCTCTTAAAAAACCCTGCTGAAGAAGACTGTTAGGTCGAAACGCGTACAGGGTTGCCTTTCCTTTTCTCTCCTTTATCTCTCGACTTATCGTTTCCAATTAACCAATTCACCGAGGGATCCTCAGTTCTTATAATCCTTATTGCCATAATTCATCACGTATATGCAGTTCATACTATTGAAGTTGAAGTAAATAACAATAAATTTGAATACTGGTCCTATAATTATTTAGGTTACACAATGTCTCACACCAGTACTTGCCCATTACCTATTTACACCAAAACAAATGTTTTCCGTGAAAGGATACGCAATATATTTCTCCATGAATGGATAATTTTTTGTATTTGAAATTTTGTCACAAATCGATATCCATTGTCGAAACTGTATCATTTACAGATTTACTCACTTCTTTAAAAATATTACAGAAAATTGAAATTTAACATTGTTTAGATGTACGTTATAAATGGTGTATGCGATCTTACCTTCTGGTTTGCAAGTTCCATTTTTCTCAATAAAGTTTTTTTTACACGTACAATTATGTCTCCCTGTTGCTACGATCGACGTGCACTTCTGATTTTCGGCACATGTGTTTCTTCGACATGGGTCTTTATCTATATCGTGTTAATATTATTAATTAAACCAATAATAATATCCGCTTGGTTGACATGGACCAAATATCCCGTATACAATCTTCTGTTGCTGTCTCCCACCCACTATATCAATATTAAAATACAAAGTAACAGTAACTCCGAATAACATTTTGTTTTCTAATGGACGTTTCGACTGGACATTTTCCATAGTCATCCTCCGGATTAATAATAACCCTTAGAATGCTTAATTTCAAACTACTTCGAACGTCGATCAAAACTCAAATGTTATTCGCGGAGTTACTGTTATTTTGTATTTTATTAAAATCCTGAGTTGTTCCCGTAATTGTAAAAATATCACGTAATGTAATTCTACCGATCGCCAACAAGTTTACCTGCGGACGATAAATTGTAGCGAACACGTACCTATGCATTTATTATTTTCGATAAAAAATCCATAATCACAGATACAATTGTGTTTCCCATGGTAACCATCCGGTTTGCATATGCTATTTGGTTTGCGTATGGTGCAGTTGGCGTTTTCGCATGCAGGTATAGCTAAAAAGAAAGAAGAACCTCTACTAGTGCAGAATATCACACGCTTAGGAAAAGTCATCGCTAGAAATCGCGGACATTTGGAAAGCAGCGTGCATTCTCGCTCCAGTCCCCGCGTCCACTCTGATATTCAATTTTTATCTGGAATACAGATGGTCATCCGATTTTTATATAAAATACCAAATTAAACTTGTACAGTGTGGAAAGAAAATTCCGTGAACTAATCAAGGCAATAAGAAAGAAAACTAAGATCTATAATATAATATAATGATTGTTAACAATATTTAAAACTTTATTGACTTTATTAAAAACGGTACTATTTCACCAGAAACGGTACTATTTACACATAAATAATATCGATTGAGAAGTCTTTTGGCGCGTTTATTTGTTTCGAAGACTTGCATATTTCATTAAAGAATATCTCGCCACTCCTTGAAGAGTAGCTGTCAAATACTGCCATTTTTTGTGTAGTCACGTGACCGGCCCAGACCAGGGCTTTCTCGTCTCTCCCCTCGCCCTCACGCTAAAGTCCTGGGAACGTGGTTGGGTTTTGGGTATACAGGATCTAATGGATATTTAGTATACTGTATATATTTACTTAAATGTTATGACTAATTTTGGCTATTTGGTATAAAGCTTCTGATTGTTTTAGTTTTTTTTAACATTTTGAACGTATTAATAGGTATTTTGATACATATTTATCAAGTATTTAGAATACCACGACCCGCACCCCCCCTGGCTGACCTCTAATAGTCAAAGTGTGGTTGAATAACTGATTGATATTCTGTAATTAGTGTTCAATAATCCACTATTTCTCGAAGCTATCTTAGGATGCTGTGGCCTACATTGACATTTTTAGTGACTTGGTTCACTTGTGCATTCCATGACAAATTTTCGTCAATCTTTATACCAAGTGATTTGATTACTTTAACTCTGTCTATTTTCCTACCTCCAATATGTATGCGATGGTGTATGTCAATTTAGTTAATTATTCTATTGCTACCTACCATCATGTATTCCGTTTTAGAATGGTTTAAAGTAAGTTGTTTGGCTGACATCCAAGTTGATACTTTTTCCAAGTCATGGTTAAAATTTTCTGCAATTACATTAATATTTCCACTAGATGTATCGACTTGGGTGTCATCGGCAAACATACTAGCACTTGTTCTCTCAAGGTATTGAGGTAGACCATTATGTAGATTAGAAATAAAAGCGTCGTAGAGCAGAGTCTTGGGGAATACCTGTTTTTACACGTAGCGGTCCAGATAAGTGGCTCCATACTTAAAAATACTGCATTCGATCTGTCAAATAAGACCAGAGCCAACACAGCGCCGTACCTGTTATGCCGTTAATATCCAACTTTTTAAGCAGGATATCATGATTGACAATATCGAATGCTTTTTTTAAGTCAAAGAAACGACGCCGTTTAGCTTGCCGACATGCATCAATATTTTGATACGATCTAATGGTGATGTCTAGCAATACAGTAGCCGTAGAATTACATAGTCTGAATCCGTGCTGAGCATTAGTTTATAAATGTGAGTACAATAAGTAATCATAGATCTGGTTGCGTACCTGCTTCTCTATAATTCGTGCTACAATCGAAATGATTGATATTGGCCTATAATTAGAGGCATATTTTTTGGTCCCAGACTTGTATATTGATGTTATTCTTGCAATTTTCTAGTCACATGGTATTGATTGATTAAAAATTAATTGGAGTGAAGGGGCAATAATGGGGGCAGCAATTTTTAAGAATTTAGGTGAAATTTCATCAATACCTGATGCCTTCGAGGCACTTAAATTTTGAAGCAATCTTAGGTTTCCAATTCCGAGATCTCTTTCTCGACAACCGGTTTCGTATTACATTTCGATACAATTTTTCTAATATAAATATCTCGGCGAGTATTTACCCCCCTTTTAAATAAATGCCACCATTGAAATCCTCACAATATAAACTTTCGAACGGGGGGTCAAGTGCCGTCAAAACATTACACAAACCGAAACAATCATATATTTATACTCACGGCTTCGCCAAACATTCAAACGAGAAAAAGAGAAAAAGTTGAATATATTCTAAAATTTGGCGTCATTTTCTGAAAGGATATAT